ATTACAAAAAAATATCACGTTTCTATTATTTCTAAATCTATTTACTACCTACACAATGACAAGCGACGGTTGGTGTATAGATCTTTCGAGTTAATAGTAACCCGGAACCTGTGGTGCATGCGCCGGAACAGATTTTATCGCCCACTAACTAATGCCACTGTTGCTATCGGCCGCTAACACACTTCATATAAATAAAACTAGTAGTCAGTTTAGGGTTGGCTCTTTAGTTTCATTTCATTTCATTTATTTTATTTCATAAACACATCACATTGTTTGCAATTTTTCATAAAATTTAGACCACAGTAATAAAAACAATAGCATTCAATAGAAAATCACAGAATTTTCGCATCCAATAGTACAACCGCACAAAAGACTTGTTTTAATATAAGCTGGATTTGAATCAAATGATATTGTGGCTGTTCATGGACGGTGGTGGTCGCTCTCCATCAGGTGACCTCTCCTCAAAAGGGGGTAAAGTTTTGTGACTAGCATCGTTTCATGTTTAAATGTTCATGCACAATTCTTAACCAAAGGCTTATATAAATAAAATAAATAAATAAAATAAATTTATTTTTTTCTTTATTCTCTAAGAAAACACAGCATACAACTTAATATAAATTACTAACTTAATACAACGTACAATAATATTTCATTTTTTTAAAAGCTTATAACTTATAGCTTATATCATTATCTGAGCGCCCAAATCAAGCAAACATTGGGCGAAAAATATATTTAATTCACGTAATCGTTTAGTTCAGTGATTTTAAAAGAAAACAATTATAAACTATCGTCCTTTGTCAATTTTTTTTTTTGTGATTTGTTAAGAAACCTGTTAAAATAAAATATTTACCTACAGTATTGCAAAAACTTAAAGAAATAAAAATCTTTAGATTTTACAACTACAACTAAAACTAACATATATTTATGGTAGCCACTACGTGATTATACTCTACAAATAAGCAAAACCTAATATGTAATTACCCACGATTCTAAGTACATAGAATAAAACAAGTATGCACCCGTTCAGACAACCCTATCATTAGTAATCGTGTGTGGTACAGTGGTTTGTATTTATCGATAGTTAAGTCTTCGACCGTTTACCTTTGAACCAGACGTGATGAACTTGAACCTGTAATAATTATAGTTGTTCAAATAGCCAGTGAAATAAATTCAATCGCGAAAAAATATTAATGATAAGAGAATTGGACATCAGTACTATAAAACTGAGGAATAGTAGGGACACGTGCTGTTGTGCTGGGACGCCGCAGTAGGTTTAAGTTTACCTAACTTTCTTCCAATTAAAACAATTTAAGTAGTCAAAAGTTTAAAGTAAATACTTGTTCTTGACACCAAAAAAGAACGAAAGTTTGGATATTAAACAAAAATATGTGGTATAATTGGATTGGATTAGGTTATGGATTAGTTTTCATAGAAAGGAATATCTTTAATAATATCAGAGTAATAATAAATCGCAGGTCTTACGTAAAAAAGCGTGATGCAGTAATCATGACTCTCAAGGATTACGCTGTGTCAGCTTATTATTTACTAGGTGAGTTTAATACAATGACGGTTGTCGAACTGAGTGAAAACTTTTAGTAAGAGAGCGAGTTGAGATATTTGATGAATTAATCCTTCTAACTGTCCAATGACTGCAAAGGATTTGATTGGATATATTTTCACACATTGGTGTGTGATTTAACAGAATCTAAAATACACAAGAAATATAAAACCTATTGCAGTTATTGTCTATTTTCTAGAATAACGTCTTTTTATGATGCATTGTGTAATCGAATATAAATATTTATTCTGATTACAAAATGATACAAAAATAATGCAATATATGTATTAAGACCGTCAATTGTAAAAAAAAAAACTTTAATTAAGCTCATAGAATCAATTTGTTAACGTATCTTACAGAGAAATTCACACACTAATTTACAAGATCCCTTTCACGTTGATTTGCAGAAACTGCAACCGTTATTTATCCAATTACTTGCAGCTGAGACAAAGGCATCGCTGGTGCAACAATACAAATTAGAACAACAAAAGAAACCAACGAATAAATCCCGCACGACCGACTGGTTTATTCCAATTAAGCTTGTCTTTCATATAGTATCGATTTGGGTCCGTGATCTCATTCCGATCCAGAAACGAGTGATTTATCGTCAGATTACGCCGTGTCGATACGCTGACGTAACCGACCACCCATCCGTGACTGTCGAACACTCCTTGATGACTTGTACCTAATGTGTCCTATTTTTACACATGGCAATGTGAACTGAAAGATGCCAATGTTGTGACGCTACATTCAAATATTTTTACCGAGTTTAATACCACATCTTACATTCATTGTTTATGTGCATGTTAAAACAAATCGGTTTGAGTAAATAAGTGTGAACATATCTTTTGAAGATTATAAAGATTATGCTTGGTATGTAAACATTCTATAACTAGCTTTTAAACACGATTTTTTTTTGATTATTTCTTGCCGAGATAATAGTTGTACCAGAATATAATCTATCTCTCTTCCGAATTGATAAAAGATCCGTTCAGCCGAACTTTTGCAGTAAGAGTAAGATGGAAGTTGTATACTCATAAAAGTTATCATAGTAGTTATGAACCGTGATTACAAGTATTAAAATAATTGAACGAGATACATTTCTATAAAGGGTTAAAGATCTTCTATTTGTTGAATGAACCCTACTTGCACTTCTGTCAATCGTGACTGTGTAGATGACTCCTGTAAATTAGGAACGTTAGTTTAAAACGACTGTTAGAACGCGCTCACTACTAGCCAACTGCTATTGTCCGAAAAGCCTGTATAATTAAATGAAATACATGGTAAGTACTATTATATAGTATAGTAAGTACTATTGCCTTTTTTTTGGTTTAAACATTAAGTAACAATATTATACCGTTTACCAGTACTAAACGTATAAATATAGTCAAAACCATTCATATACTGGAGGAGAGGTAATTTGTAAGGTTAAAATGACATATTACAATGTGTTAAAATCTTGTATAATATACCTAAAACGCATATCCATATTATTATGTACAATAAGCTGTATTAACGAGTTTTCTGTCAGTTAACTTCATTAAGTAATATCGTACATAGGTAGCAATACTTTGATGAATAATTCATTGCAAAAAATTCTACTCTGGATGAACTTATAAAAACATGAACACTGTTTCTATTGTCATATGAATACTTTAAACTTAAGATAACAATCTTCTCGGAAGCTTTTAAAAGTTCCAGCATATGTCTTGTATGTATTTTTTGATGTTATTTATTTCTTAACTTTATCATTTGTGCTGTTTTATTTATCTCCACGATAAGCTCTCCTACCGTATTCAACTACATATGTACGTACCTATATAACCAACTACTCAAACAAGTATCATTGCCTACAAAATGATTATTATCAACGGCCATTTCTGTAACTAGCCTGTCTGTACCATTGTATTATCCTCATCGGGTTTCAGACCATCTTCGTTTAAATTGAATCTTGTCTAAAACCCAACAAAATCCTCTAGAACATGAACTTTTTAAATGTATGTATTCAAGCACTCTTATAGAATGTTTCTAATAGCTGAAAACAATCCATTGATGATTCGCACCATTATCAGAATTTACGAAGTCCATAAAGACATTGAGCGAATCATACTTTTAATAGCCAAGCTGCCAATTCAAAACTGCTCCTTGCACATTTCACACCATGGCGCGAACACCTTGTTTTGAAACAACAAAGTAGTCGCATGCTGCATCAAAGTATCTGAAGAAAAAAAGATTCAGCGAAAAGGTGAATTAAGGCTGCCAATTTGTACTATTTTTGGTTACACGGAACTTTAGACCATAAGACTTATACCAATGTATACGAGCTGTAGGTACTATTATTATGTTTTTGTACAATAAATAGCTATCTATCTATCTATCTCATATTCATTCAAAGCAAGATTTTCATCCTCATGATGATACTAAAATGTTCTGTATTTAATGGTGTTAGTTAAAATATTACCTAATAAAAACTTTAAATTGTAGTAAAATATAAAAATAAAAAAGATATTTCGTATAGTATGTATACTATTGTCATTATTTTAAACTAAAAACTACACGAAACCATTTGCATAAGCAAATAAGTTCGTTTTATATTTATGGAACTTGAAGTACATATTCAAAGGTCACTGTAGTTCGTGCATACTCATAGTCGTATTTGACGTTAAAGTAGTAAATTTGAATAGACAAACGCTCTGTTTATGCATTGGTTTACGTATATTTCACCGCAAGTAAAATGTTTCTATCTAATCTCGATCGGATCTTTAAAGATACAAACTACACGGAAGTCGCAGAACGTTTCAAATATTTTAACGTGCTTAAGATAAGGACAAATGCTTAAAACAGCAACGGCAAAAGTACTGAACGACGTGTAATTGTTAGTTTATTCTGATTTATAGAAAATAGTAATTCTTGTTACGTCAGTGTTCTACTTGACCTCATCAGAAAATTGAACTATTCATGCAAAAACAGCAACATTTATATCATAGCATTAAAAATTGTGAGATAATGGATAATTGACCGATTTATTGATAAAAGTATCATACGATAAAACTGAAGACCAATTTAACAACAGCACATATAGTTATGCAGAAATATTGTAGCAGTGTACAAAAAAACCACACAAAGTTTTGAAACACAAAATTTAACAGTAAAAAGACACAAATATTAGAGTTTTAACGAAAAGGAAGTCCACGTCAGATTTATTTTTAACTGTTTCATCTAATCATTAGAGGACAGAGGTTAATCATTAGATTAGCCTGTTAGGCTTATTATTCCATAGTTTTTTTCCGTCACCGTCCTGTTGATGGCTTGGACATAACGGAGGTTGATCACAGGTTAAGAGTAACGATACGATATAAACCGTAGCTAACTAGGTCAATATTAGATAGAGTTTTAACTAAGGTTTCAGTTTTTTGGTGTTGTAACTTGTCCCAGACATACGATGAGGACTTACTATGAATCTATTACTGTATTTAAGAAAAAACAAAAATTCGATTGGGATAGAAAACGGTAAGTCAAACATTCCTGGCACGAAAACGGTAACTTCGCTCCACTGTTGAATGGTAGTTGTAATATATGTATCGTAGTGAAATTATTTTGTGTTAACTCTTGCTAAGCGTCGACAACTTATTTTAATACGGCCCTACCTTTGATGTTATCGCTTACTTTATATTCAAGAGCGCTCTCTATCGGTAACATAAAGTACTACCTAGGATTGTGATAGAAATTATAATCATCATTTGACACTTCCATTGGTTATTAAGCGCCCTTTGTTTCACCATTAATTTGTCATGAACCTATAAGTTATGATGGCTTATTGTGTGTAGAATTTAACGGATTAAATATGGTGCCATTAGCTCTGTAAAACGGTTTGATAAAATGCTTTTGTTCTACTATTGGCTCATGATTCTTACTTTCCTTTAAAAAATATGTTATTTTGCAAAATACTAGTTATTGAGGTATGATGAAATTATGTAACCCAGGAGAGATTTTAAATGCAAAATATGGAATAAAAAGATTATATTTTAATAACATTTATGATATTGAAGCGTTTAGGTTTTACGTTCTGCATAATGTAATGAAATTATTAATCAGTAAATATTTCTAGACATTCTTTCTTTTTTAGTTAAAATTAGACAAATCAATAAATAGACATGATTTACTACTACTACTTACACATGGATAGACCACAGGTACAACCACAATAACAATCCATATTCAAGGATTAGGAGGAATGTATTTTTATCTCTTACTTGTACGGGATTAAAGTGTAAACAGAGTCTTACTGACAATGCACCGGATGAGCTGATGATGCACCGGTACGTGTTCGTTTATCGTATGTTCGTCATGGTTACCCGCTTCTATCTCAAGTATGGTCTTATTGAAATTTTTAATAATAAACTACAAAGTTTAAAAGTATAAGATAGTATACACTAAATTACCGCATTTTAAACGTTTCTTTAGAACTACATAGAGCTGATTTGAATGTTGAAGAAAAGTCATAGGGCCACGCATCAATAATAAATTCTAAGCGTGCAATGAGAACGACCACCTAACATGTTGCTCTACAATGTTGCTAACCATATTTTAGTGTTATATACATAACTTACTATGTTTAACCTTGAATTTTTAATATGTAAGTTTGAGTCAAAAAGTATTAATGGTTTGAGCTACTAATTGATTATTACACACTTATAATGTAGATAAATATATTAAAATCCTTGACATTAAATATTAGAGGTTGCAACACAATTGGGAAGGATCCATGAACTTTCTCTTTACAAGATGTGCTCTGTGTATGACACAAAGACTTTCTTCTAAATTCCAGGATTCTTCTATTGAATAATATAACATCAGATATGAATTTTCCTAACAAAATCTTCCGTTTTATCAACTAAAACTTTTACAATGTTATCATATAAAACCCTTTTAAAAAAAAAGTTGAACCGACTTCAAACAACACCGACAAAGAGCACTAAAAATTAAAAAATAATTACAAATCTAAGTAAAAAACTATAATAAGTACCCTCAATGTAACAGGTAACATTATAATACCAATAGTCCCTTCTAGTCTGTTTGAAGTCGGTGCCAAGCCACATAGGTGCTTGATAGGCATGGTAGAATGTAGCGCGGCAGCTGCAACAGTCTTCATGCTGCGCAAAACATGTTGAACGAGCTAAAGTGGACGCACATCTCCAATTATATTATTATTTTGAATGCTTTAATAAGTAGTTGATAAGTTTGCGCACGTAATTTATCTGGTTGGTCTTTATTATTAACAAAATCTTCGATGTTTCATTACAATTATTTTGAATTCTTAATTTTTCATTGTGCTAATATACAGCTGCCATAGACCAGTATTACTTATTGTGCATCGAGCTTGGCACCGACTTCAAACACAAGGGACTATTGCTATTATAATGCTACATGTTATATTGAGGGTACTTTTAATAGTTTTTTTACTTAGATTTGTAATTATTATTTTTTAGTGATCTTTGTCAGTATTGGTTAAAGTCGGTTCAACTTACTTTTTAAAAGGATTTATTTTACTATTTTTAGTGCAAGATACGTTTGTAATGAGTAGATAAGTGCGAAATTTAAAACACTACGTACCGTAATGTTTATTAATAAACTGTTGTATGTTAGATTATATTAAATATTATATTAAATTACTGCTGAACATAGGCCTCTCCTTAGAAAGTTGACCCACACAAAATTTAAGAGTTTTTTCCAGAACTATTTTAATAAATTAAGTATAAAATTACTTACAAACGAAATGCGATGCCATCCATAGCAACAAAACGTCTATCCGAATTATTTTAACAAGATAGAATACAAAATTTCAACCTTTTCTTCTTAATACAACGAAAATTACTGTAGGGACATAAATACTGCAAGTTCTCTGCGCATCACATCGCGCAGTCTCTGACGGTTGCCATGGTTTGTTTGGCAAAAGAAATGCTCGTAGCTAAAACACGTTGTCGGGGCTGTCAAATTCCCGATAATTGTGAGGGTTTCCCTCGATTTCTCTAGGATTCCATCATCAGATCCTGAATTGGTGATAATGGGACCAATTCGGGAGCATACCCTTTCGATAACAAAAAGAATTTTGAAAATCGGTCCACAATTGACGGAGAAATCACGGAACAAACATACATAAAAAAAAAAAATACAGATGAATTGAGAACCTCCTCTTTTGTGTTTTGGAAGTCGGTTAAAAATTGCTTTTTAGTTGTTTGAAGTTTTCAATTTTTTTAAAAAATAATTTAATTTTTTAATTTTTCGTGGGAAGTAAGTGTGATTTTAAGGTCATAAATAAACGCTCACACTCACAGCCCAACTCTAAAAATGTTTATCGTATCCGTGTATCCTAGGTGCCGTGGACAAACAAAATGTACGATTGTCAAAATTGGCGGAATGATCGCGTATCAAACATACAAAAAGAAAACATACTGTCGAATCAAAAACCCTCCTTTTTTGATGTTGGTTAAAAATCGACTAGCATGAAGCTCCTAGTCGAGACGAATCAAATGAGCACAAACACGGCGGAATTGCTTTATTTTATTACAGAGTTCCAATGGCTATTTACCGTCTCCATCATCAGACCCTGAATATCACATAGGATCGGAGTCCTTATTAATTAGACTCAAACACATTCAAATTTGATGGTATTACATAATTTTGTTACAGAGATCCCATACTCCTAAACCATTCATCATCAGCTTCATCATAAGCTCAGCAACATCAGATGGTGACCATTAGATGCAAAAATCTACATAGATTAAGATAATTTCTGATAAACAGTGTATATGCCTACAAAATTTGAGGGTTTCCCTCGATTTCCCCAGGATCCCATCATCAGATCCTGACCTGGTGACAATGGGACCACCTCTGACGTATGACCTACCAAATAAAAAAAAGAATTATTCAAATCGGTTTATAATTGCCGGAGTAATCGCGTAACAAATATACAAAAAAAAAAAAAAAAAAATACAGTCGAATTGAGAACCTCCTCCTTTTTTTGAAGTCGGTTAAAAATTCACATCAAAACTTCATTGAACCAGCCTTAGACTGTATTTCGTATTTCGTGGTGCAAATAAAACCATAATTTATATGTATGTACTGTACATGTGAACATTGAACAGCTACATACAACCTAACGGATTCGGATTTCGTAAATAACTGAGGATGTCTATGCTAACTAAAAATACTATTCATTTTCACAAAAAGCTTCAAAGAATTATATGTAAAACTATTAGTTTCCGTGTACAGTTGTAAAACGAAAAGCTTAAATTAATATAACTAAAAGATCTGTACAAAATAAATGGGTAATAAAATTTAAAGCCTTACTGATTTACAAAGGGAAAGCACATCTTTGTTTAACAAAAGATGAGTTGACACCACACTGAAATATTTCCGTAAAGTGATGTTTTCACCAGATCGTAGATAGCTCGGACAAAGCTTGCTATATATTGTAGACACTTGTATAGTGATTGACATATAATATTAAGTCGAAAGTTTGAAAAGTAGTTAAGTGAAGCTTTAGATGTCGACATAGGTACTCAAAGGAGGATGAACTGAAACATAAAAGCGGAGATCGCGCTATCATAAATATAAAATTTATAGAAATTGATAACGACTCTTGAAAGCATGAAGTAAATAGATGGCTTTATGTTAAACATTAATGTGTATAATGAAAAGGGCTAGAAAGATTGCAGTATCTTTTAACTTGACTTTTATTAAGGCGGCTTTTCCTTCAAACAAAGGCCATCGATAATAACATAAGCAAAAGTTTTATCGTCTGAAAAAACGATACAACGTACAGTATTCTATTTAAATATAAATGTGTACACCTACAAATGAACAAATATTACCTTCCATATGTTATTTTTCTATTTTCACATCGTGCCCGCTAACGTTATTGCTACAAATTATCGCTGCCGTAGTTCGGTGGTAGGGTTAACTAAGTATGTATTGACATTTTGAACTTGTATGCTATAATAGCAATGAGAAAGTTAAATATTGCAATAAAATAACAGTAATTCATTTTTTTAAGCAATATTCTAAATAAATAGGTGAAAATGGAAATGGTAAAAAGGAAACGCATCACTTGAGAACGTTGGACGGATTAGTAATTTTCTGTTTTATATGTTAAAATGGGTATGAAGGTTTTTTTGCGATTATAATTTACGTAATACGATACTAAAATAACTTAAAATGGAACGCTGGCACTTGTTTAGGTAATAAAGGAGTAAAGTCAAACTGTTATTGTTACAGGATACTGGCAGTGTGTTCGCGGGACCCACTAATATATGCACAAACAACGAGCACGGCGGTTGGAAGACCGGTGAGTTATTATATCATCAATTACCTCGCTTTGATGTTCACTTGCAGTGATCGCAAAGCAATTTCTTTGAACAAATTGGTTAAACGTTATGCTTGAAGTTGACTTCGATCATTTGTATTGTGATATTCTGGTAGGATTGCTCATGTCTGATCTTTACTAGTAATGAAAATAAGCGACTAAAAGAATTGGTATTTCACAAATACAATCATATATACGTACGGAATGTGTGGCACCCGGGTGGAATTGACCGTGGTCATGGACTAACCATCACAGTAGAGACTTTCGATCGAATCCGGATCTAAGTATAAATGGCCACACCAAGCAACAGCATGGAATACCGAAGCATATCTTGCCATTGCAAACCCCAGGTGCCGAGAAAATAAACTGTTAGTGCGGTAGTTCCTACACAAGCCTGTTTTTAAAAAGGCCAAAGACCATATTACTATTATGAGAATTTGCCACATTGCGATTGCAAAACATGCACTTGAAGCAGCTACCAATCATTGGATTGAATTTTACTGCACCCAAGTCCTTCCAACCAAAAGTTTTACTTAAGAACTTTACATGGGAAAGATGGTTTCACCTTGGCCTAAATGATTATAAATTGTCATCATTAAAAGTCATTAAAGTCGCTGACACTTTTGTTAAAAGATAATTGCATACATATTTACATTTACTGAATACCAGTAACCACCTTTATTTTGGATGAAAGTTTATTTCATAAGGTTTTAAAAGCAAATATAGTTCAAACTACAATGAGGCTTGTAATTTAAATAATTATTTAATTTATATTGTTGTGTATTATTACAATATAACTATAAATTAATAATGGGCTATATCTCTTTACCTTACTAATTAACTATTTCCGTATATGAGGATGACTTTATTTATAACTACACACCTACACCACAGTTCATAGTTAGTCTGCTGTGGTCACATTTGGAATGGACAAAGTAAATAAAAATTGGATAAATGAAAAATAAATATTGTATTTGTTTTTCTCATTATAAAGGTACTTACAGCTTAAGAAATGCAAAATCATATCACTCAAATTTTACCATTCCTTTGTGAAAGACTGATGTGTGTGGTAGGAAAAAGATGTGTTATAGATAATAGGCAGTTCTTTAAAAACTTAACAGACCGACCATAGCGTATTCCTCACACAAATATACGATTTACGACAGAACGATATTATTGCTATTGTCATTTGGTATACTTAAAAATCTGGTATCCAAATATATTTGGATTTAAATATATTTGTTATTTTATATAATAACAAAAAGTAAGCGTCGCAAGAATTCTTCATCTATAATAGTAAATAAGTAGTAGATCCGTAGATGAATTAACCCTTTCAAAACGTTTGCGCGTTAAACGCGAAGACAGCTTTAATAAAGATTACATACGTGACTGAGATTATGTGCCTACCAAAACCCATATATTATAAGTATTTAAACAAAATTAGCCTGTAAAACTAAAACATATGGACCAATTTAGACACGATTTCAACAAGTGGAACATTTCGTACAACGTCAATGACCCATCGATCAAGCAACCATTCATTTAATAGAAATGGCTATCAGTTGAATCAATATTTCCTTGAATGCTCATTTCATCATTTTGGCATTGGTTGTAGAAAGGGGCAAGTATGAAGTTCTCACTTGGACTCCATAAATAAGTTTTTAACTTTATCAGCCTTGTATGAAACTGGCTCTTCTTACGTTAAGAACAGCACCTGAATTGTAAAGTTTCAAACGTATTTTTACATCTTTTGCAAAACAAAATACGATTGACAACATATTATTTCATAAAAACGCAGGATCCTTACAAGCTTATATGCTCAAGGGATACTTGTAATTTCATAAACAGTGAGCCTGTCTCTTCTACTTCGATACTCCGATAGAGAAACCACTGACTTTGTCTAAGTACACATGTCGTTAAGGATATTACACGATAAGACTAATTTTACGATACAATAAGGTTTAATAACTATGAAAGGTTAACGATATCATCTCCTATTAATGGAAATAATCATCCGCAGAGTAAAGTGATAATAAATAAAAATCTCATCACCGTAAATAGAGATACGGTATATCCCACTAATCATTGAATTAGATCATATATATAAAACTTTCCATGAATAAACTATATTATTATCTATTCCACCGCACTACTGTAAAACATGCCCTAAACTATATGAAAGGCTGTTTTATTCAAGTAATTGATGATGATTATTTACATGAATATCATGTCATCGAATTTTCCCAGTAAATGAAAAGAGTTATTTCTTCATCAGTATTTTTTTTTCTACGACTCTTACCTCAAATAATTTCATAGTACTCCTTTGATAAAGGCTGGGATGAGGAGATCGCACTCTGCGCTTTGGTGGAGTGTCGACGGTATGTGTAATGTGTTACATGTGATCGTTCGATGTTGGAAGTGAGAGCGCATGAGATTCTGTCGCTTTGACTTGTGATGGAGCGATGGGCCTACCCTAAAAATCCCTGGAAGAGAACTGGAGCACGCTTGCAATCATCCACCTTATTTATTGAGTTTCGCCATGGCCAAAGACACGCATGGAGTCGACTGAAGGAACCGTCTATGTGGAACACGTCTATGTGGAAGTGGTATGGAAGGTAGTTAATTAATTACCTAATATGCACGTAACTTATTGTCAATTTTTATCTTTTATCTCCGAAATCACCCACTTAACTTTCTTTTTTATATTTTAGAAACTTTTCAAATTCATTTATTGTGATCTAGAAATCTATTACTTAATGGTAATTTCTAGCACCGTCGTACGAAATGGAATGTATGAAGTTCAGTACATTATAACCGTTTATATTAAGAGACCAGATTTAAAATGAATGAATGAAATGCTGATCACCGAAGCCATGGCTTCGGTGATCAGCATTACTATCGAGTCAAACAGTCGAGTGAGTCAAACAGTGTATGAAGAGTCTGAAACATGTCTCAGACTCTTCATACACTGTTTGACTGTCTTGTTGTTTTCCTTTTTTTTTTAAAGACATCTCCCGCGTTAGAAATACTGAATACCTGTTTAGCGAGGGACTTTGTCGCCAATGTGATATCCACTTTTTATGTAGGGGTACTTATAATAAAACACCACGCAATTATGCACATAGGCACTAACTCCACAGCACGCCCGCTCGCTCCGAGATACATGAAACGGACACAAAGAACACCCAGACTCAGAACGTCAATTTGTGGATCACTCAAAGTGTCGTCCTATGTTGGGATCGGACCCACGACACTCAGCATACTGCGACTGCTTAAACCACTACGCCATCCGTACAGTCTATCACTAGACAAATAATTATGCTGAGCACGGTCATTTCTTCTGTGCATGGGTGTAATTTATCAATAATATATAATGTATTTAGAAATATAGTGTGAGTAATATATGAGTCTGTTTATCGGTAGTCTGATAACTAAAGCATAGGTTCTGCCTTATTTGGGATAAAGTGTGTGAGATGTATGATTTTTTTTAATGTACTTTACATATTTTATAATTTTCTGTTTATACATATGTATGAAGAAATATGTTGCCCTCAGGTGTCAAGAACGACTGAATTATTACGATCGAACGTAACGGTGTACGCTTGGAGTTCGTGGGGTTCATGGTCTGCCTGCTCCAAAACATGCGGTGGGGGCGTTGCTGTCCAGGAGCGACACTGTTTACCGAGAGACCCTGCCAGGTAATATAAACATGTATTTTATTTTTATAAATCATACTTCATTACTCAAATATCTTAACCCAACGCAGGCTACAGTCATCCACATCAACAGCCTTTATAAGCCCACTGCTGGACATAGGCCTCTCCTTGGAAAGGAGGTTTTGGTCTACTATACTCCACCCCTATATTCTTCTGTTTGCATTTGCAGTGCTGTTTTCCTGTGTAGTTTGGTGCCGTAGTGGGCTCTTCTCTTACGACACCCACGGTATAATTAGGGGTGGTGCATTCTTAATCCGTCACAACACGGACCTAACAGGCTAACAACTAATGGGTACCCATTAGTTTTCCATTTTCTTTTTCTTAACGATACTTATTATTGTAGTTTACATTTTCGTTTGTAATGGCAATTATAAGTGTTCGTAATAATTACCTACGCACCATGTTTGTCAGGCATGTTTGTCGGTGATAGTGATAAATATGTAATATAGCAGAGACCGGTCTGTCTCAACATATTAATAATGGAGTAAGACACTTTATTTACCACCAAACCGTCCAAACCAGTGGCTCGATAGGCATGGTGATCTCCGAAGCCATGTCTCAGACTCTTCATACACTGTTTGACTGTCCTGTTGGTCACTGGACTCTTTCAGTTTTAAATTATTCGTTTTTTTTTAATCTTTTTCTATTCGTTTAACTCGTTAATTATTTAAATCGAAGGATAGAGTATCACCTAGATTAAATTTTACCTGTGCTTCAAATCCAGTAGGGAACTGAAACTCTGAAATAAGACCGGGTCAACCTTTTTTAATCTAATGTTTGATGTTTTGACCTAAACACAATAAACTTATTCTTACATTTATTGACAATATTACAGGACATTTCGTTATCTATCTACTACATATTTTTAATCAGCCTATTTAGTTAGTATCTTACGCCATATACGATCATTAACAGGGATTGTTTAATAGCTTACTTTGTGTTTTTATACACAAATAATTTCTATTAACGCCATTATTATTACATATTATAAGAATAATATAAAGAAGAAAATATAAAAATATATCATAAAATATGCGTTAACATAAACCTAAATAAAACCTCCAGTTAAACCCTTTATCATTAAAGGTATATAAAAAGAAGTTATGATTTAACAGTATTCTTCATAATACTGTCCTTTCCCTATCAAGTATTTCTGCACATTAGTAAGTGTCAGTAAACATATTCTCTACTAATATAAATGCATATATCTATTATCTTATAACGTGTGTATAACATAAAGTAGGGATTTATGTAGTGAAAAATACGCAGGTGGCTCGCTGGACCATGTGGTCTAACAACTAGTGTGGTTTATATTGTTTATAATACTAAAAGGTAATCTTGTGATTCATGATTCACGTTTAGAGGTCAATGTTTTCCGTAGAGAGTTCTTTCAAGCTGTTCAAAATTTATATGTTTTAATGAATAAAGTATGTCTCCTTCTTACAACTTGTTACTTTTTTTAACTTTTTTTTTGGACAACAGTACTGCAAAGAGAAGGAAATCAGGAAACAAACAAACAACTATTCTGGATAGCGTGGTATAGTAGGCCAAAACCTCCTTTCTAAGGTGACACCTATGTCCAGCTGTGCACAGATTAAGGCGTTGATGTGTTGATGATGATGATGATAATGTCATTTTTTGTTTGAGTCAACTTCACAAAAGAATCATTCATAAATGAAATTTTAACGAATTTATCCGCACGTCCTGACAATTAGCAAGACGACTGATTATTAATATTCAACATCTGCAAAACCTAGTCCTTTCATATCCAAAATGAAATGCGGCGATGTATGTTTAATTCTTTGAAACTTATATTTTTCACTTGCTGCACTGTTTGGTTGCAATATTTTTAACCGACCTACCGACATATTATTTTACAGTTACTGAAACATGCTTATTACATAGATATAGTATGCCATGGAATATGTAAAAACCAATTAGTTAATCTACGAGGAGAACGCGTGTTACTTCACAGCACAAGCTTAGCTATAATGGCTATCACTAAGCTAAACTTACACTGCTAGCTGGCTTAACTAGAAAATCTCGTTACTTTTTAGGCAATAAAACGAACTGTATAACTTATTTATACAGTTCTTATTTAAAACTCTAAATATGGTCTAAAAAAGCTGTAAAGACATAAGAAATATTTAGGAAGAAATTGCTTTCGTGGTATATCTTGACAACAGTGTAATATAAATTATTTTGCGATGTTTGAAAACAAATTTGAACACATTTTTTTTGTTGGCTAACTAAACTAACTTATTAACGACCGGGTGGACTTAAAATAATTGCATATTTTTTAAATATATTAAACACATACAAATGTATTTCAAGATGCAACTAAATACAAAGTAAAAATTAATATAATAATATATTCGTATTAATTTTTCCAAAGAAAAGGGAGCCAATGTGCTTACCAAATACTCGTATCATCTAGAGATTAAGCTGATTTGGTCTAAAATGTTTTAAATGTCATTGATTCTGACATAATTTAGTGACAATAAAAAAATCATTAATATTAATACACCATAGAATACGAGATAAAAAAAAAAGCAAGCCATACAATCAATCAATTGATAAAATTCAAATAAATAACTCCATTATTCTAATTTGGAGTGTTTTAAAAACCGTATTCGTGTTTGACCATATAAAACAAACAAGTGGAACTAAAGAAGATTAGTATGAGGTTCTTTGTAGGCTGTTGACTTAATTATTTCATTATTGGACCGGTTCGCAGTTGAGATAGGAAAGCTTGTCGTCAGGATATTGTTCTATTATAATACGATATAGATTTGTTGGTTTCAAGTAGGGGTTTCACTTAACGATTTTATTTCGATATTGACCCAAAAAATCTGAAATACTTTTATTTATTTTTATTTTTCTTAATTATTATGTTATTTTACTTAAATTTTATAAAATTAAATGTATGCAAAACCAAAAGACATACTGTCTATGTTTTCAGTAACCTTGGTTGTTTTAATATTTACGACGAATTTACCTATTACAAAATAAATATTTAGTTAATGTCTTTACCAATTAGATGACTTGATGTATAAATAATTGTACTAATTGATTTCGGAAATACATTTTACAGTAATCTATGTAGAAAAAATAAACCAAATATTAGTACCAACCCTGTTGCATCGCGGACGCATTGATCATAGATCACAATGATATCTAATGATAGGGTCTGTGATCGATAAAGGAGCGAGGGCTGCCCACCGCGGGAGAGCCTTGCGCCCGAGCCGCTGTGCCGCGCCGCAACGGGCGCTTGGAGTTACGTACTGTATTGAAACTCTACAACAGAAACTCGATCGCATATCGAACTCGTGAAATAAACTATATACACTCAGTATAGTGTACTTATATTAAAAAAAAATACATAACTATATAAAAAAAAACTTCACTTTTATAACGTAATATAAAAAATAATTACCTATTATATCACATCACATCATCAACGGCCTTTACTAGTCCACTGCTGGACATAGGCCTCTCCTTAGAAAGGAGGTTTTGGCCTACTATACCACGCTGGCCAGACGGGTTGGTATAGAGTTTGTGTCAAGTTTTCCTTCTTTTTGCAGTTTTTGTCCTGCGTTGTTTTAAGCCCTTAGTCGGATCTTACAACACCCACGGGATGAATTGGGTAGTGACATTCCGTATTCTTAGTCCGTCACTACACGGACAGTACACCTATAATATAAGAATACATACATTACAAACATGCCTCATAAAATTCCACCGCATCGTAGCCATTAGCAGCGTTACACTGAACATTGAGTACAAGTAATACCATTAGTTATTAAAATGTTAACATTTCACTGTCTTATTCTACTCGTACATATTAAATTTATGTGTGAACAATAATAGGTGTTAGTTGAATTTAGCACTTGTTTTGTTGCCCAGTTAATTTTTACACCATTTATATGTTGCAAAGGTATATAAAACATTTGTTTTGTTTTTCGTTTAACTAAATTAATGAAATATATAATCAGATTCATCAAATAGTTATTGAGTTTAGACTAAACAATATATATTTAGATTAGAATTAGAACATCTACATGATGATGATGACAATTTTTAAGTCGTTCGAGAACTGTTAGTAGGCGTCATACAACGGTATCTCCGACTCGTAACCAGCCTTGTCCGATGGATATCATAATTTACTTATTTCATGTCCTTATGATATTACTTTAATGGTGAATACTTAGTTATTGAAAGTAGGAAGTAAATTAACTGTTCTTTTTGTTCTGATAGTATGAGTTTTTTGTTTCTGTGATACACTGTTAAATAATTTACAAGAGACAAGTTATGCCGGGTACATTGTAACAATTGTAATTTTGTGCGTTAGATCATTTTAGAAAAAAAAAACATTTAAAATATTTACAAACAAGCATCAAAAAATTTCCTCCGCATCATCGTTTACTAGAAGCGTTACCAGAGTACTGGCATTGCTTGCAATGTAATTAATAGCGATTCTTTAATTACATTGCAAGTAGTGCCAGTACTCTGGTTATTCTCTGTGCTAGAAAAAGGCCGGCCTTCTGACCACGAGAAGTGTCGATCAGTTGCTTGGCTAGTTGTTTATACATAGCACGAGCACTCGGACCCTATGACCCTAGACATCTCCACCCCAAACGGTTTCGGTATTTACGTCATTTTAGGCTTGATGCATGCATGACCAGCTGTGCTTGGAAGATGTGATTACAAACATATCTGAACGGGCACTAACCCTCTTCTTAGCACTATCGAACCACGCTATTTATGGTTTTTGTTCTTGTATAGGACTCTAGAAGGCTGTGAAAAACGAAATCTAAATATATATATATGATAGTTAAATGTGGGCTAAAAATAAGATTCTGCTGATGAGAAGTGTTACAAGTTTAACATGTATCTGTCGGTGTTATCACGGATGGAGCGCTTTTGAGTTTTCTTTTTCTTAGAAGCGAATTATTGGAGGTCGTCTTAGCTTGTAAGAGCTA